GATTTCCAACACGGTATATACGCAACACACTCACAGTCATTGAAATGCGTGAATATAGCAAAATCCATGTTCGTGTGTATAGGTAGGTACACGGTATTATTGTACAAATACAGAAGTGGTTTTACGACCGGCGCCTCAGACAACACTGCTGCTCGATGCAGGTGCGAGACGGAGTTCATTTTGCGAGTAGGTATGTCGGCACGTAAACACCACGACCGCAGAAATGTCCGTCCTTAATTGATGGATGGGATCCCTTCCGAAAACGATTCATTATTTCACGCACACATTGGTCGAGCCACGTCCAAGGAGTCGCAGACACGTTATTGGAAAATCCTGGCTAGCTCGCGTACAATATTATGTTTTATGTGGTAGGTATAAGCCGACGACCGGATATTGCAGCATTCCCCGGAAGAAAAAACCCGTTAAATGTCGTACATGTAAACATTGTGTGCGAATTATAAAATAATAATATGTATTGCGTGTTGTACAGTTTGGATCAACTGCTGGCCGGCGTTCGGTTTCCGGTTGGAGGTGGTATGGGTATTCGTCGAGCCAAAACAAAATTAGTGTTCAAGATGTGATCACATTTGCAGCGCGTGAAACTCCTGTGAAGAAAAAACTACCCAAATTAACCTCGGTAACACATTAGGCCGTCATAGGGCAAACCGGTATAACTGAGATGGTAACAATAATAAAAATAATAATTTTTGTTCACAAACTTAGTAAAATTGACCACACGATTTTCGCCATTAGCACTTAATCAATCAATAGGTACCCAATTATAATCGTTAGGTTATAGTGTTATACAATAATAATATTAATGTACACGGACTATTGTTTGTCATATTATCTCATCACAGGTCTCGTTGACATTAAAATGATAATTTCACAACTATTGCCACAACTGGCATAATATTCTATACGAACCTGGTCCCTCAGCTTTACTTAGGCGTTATCAGTGATCGTAGTATATTGCAAATGCTCCTGACACCACACATTTTCTTATTTTATATAGTACCCTACGTTACATTCTCAGTCGGATACTCATTGTGAATTATAATGGTATTCCATTGTGCCATTGTATAACTTTGACGCGGTCCGCAGAAGTCGTAAGTACAAAATAACAATTACCACTGCGAGTACCGACGCCGATCGTTCCTACTTCCTATCAGCGCCACTTAAGGACACAAATAGCATAACTCTGTCAACTCTTTCGGCTTACCCAATTATGGGAGAGTTGGGACAGAGTACCGAGCTATCTGGAAATACTATATACGGACCGGCAGTATACACCAGGACTTGACTTGATGGCGCGCAGAGGTGAACGGGAGAAAAAATTCGGGGAGGGGGGATTTTTGAAAAAAATGTTCATAAATATCATATTATACTATATACATTACTCATAAAATAATATAGTCTAATAATTGAGGCCTGGGGGGGCACGTACTCTTACACTGCGTTCGCCACTCGTGACTTAGTGATGGGAGTGTGTATTTTAGCGATGATATTAAAACGTCAAGAATGGTGAAATGAGAAACTGCGAAAAAACTATACATTTTGGTGATTTGTCCAGGCCTCTGCCCGGTACAAAAATATCATATCATATAATATTATGTGTACGGGCAGCCGGAGCGCGATCGATTATGACTATTTTTATTTGGCCAGAACGCATACTATAATAATAATAATAATAATAATAATAATAGTATAACAATAACAGAAATATTATATTGCCCGGCGAGTAGAGCGTTTGCGGTATTCAAAACAAAACGGATGGGTTTTAGGTACATCCGGCGGCGGAGTAAAATGTACACACAACCACCGCCGCCACTGCCACGCCGTGACCCGTCAAGGAAACGGGGATTTTTTTTTTCGTTCGGTTATTTTATTGTTCAAAAATGTTTTTATTTATTGTAACAATAAAGGAAACACGCGGCGGGGACCGGGTCAGTCACGGGGTTGGGGGGGGGGTATAGCTTCGCCGCCGCGCCGAACGTCGGTATGACCGGAACCGGCGAAACTACTTCGGAAGGGAAAGGGTTAAGTCGTGAAAATCCCCTCGTCACACATCCCGCCGTACAACTGTACACACACGCGTGCGCACACCCACACACCCACATCCACACCCACACACATGGCCACAGTGAGAGTACCCTGCAACGTTAGAGCGTTCGTTTTCGCACATGCGCATCGCAGTGAGCAATGGACACGCGTCCGATGTCGCGTGCGTGAGGACGTATATTATTTTGTCGGGGGAAGCGATAACTCAAGTGGAACGAGTTAAAAAATAATTTGTTTTTAGCCGGCGGCGTTTCCGCGTGATAAAGATTCGTTAGCCAGCAGTATTGTATGATGCAGTTCCGGTGGTGTGTCGGTGGGTTTATTCGAGGGCCACGTGCTCAGATTAACCACCCACTAAAGCTAACTCGCTCAGATGTCTGTTATCGCAATTTTACCGGCGACGACGGTAGGTACCGTTCGGTTTCGATACCACCTGGAAATACGCACTGTCGCGTCAAATTTTAAAATAATCTATGTAAAATGCCTCTCTATAGAGAATAATATGTTACGGTGTAGTCTGCAGCTACCTATATGGATGTTAAATACTTGGCATCATGCGATTTTAGGTGTAGTAGTTGATAGTAATCGGTCAGTGGATATAACATAAATATTCTCACCAATATACAACACTTCGATTTTGAGTAGAATGTTTCAATGAGTGTAACGTTAATTTTATTAATAAGGATAAAGGACAAATTATTTGTATTATATTGAAAATGTCCTATATACCCAACACATAACGTAGATAGTTTTCGCTGTTAAATTAGTGGGAGGGGATAAAATAACTAACTTCCCTTCAACGAATTATAAGTATTCCCCGGACCAATAAGAAGTTCATTTTTTCGCTATATAACTTATTCCAGAAGATTTATAGACGAAATTGTCAACTTTTTAAATTGGCATATAAACTATTTTGTCAGAATAATATAAGCTATTTGTGATAAAAGACAAAAATATGTATTTTTTTTTTTTTTCAACAAAATCCTAATCTAATTACATAATGTTAATATGTCAGGATGACACTTGGGACCGATAGACAACATTCACAATTTTCGAATTTTCGATATAATTACAAAAATATTAGCTATTGGGTATCGTCAAAATACATAACCTTTTAGAAAAGTTGTAAGTTTCAAAACAATACTTTCAAAATATAAAATGATACACTTATATTTTATCCCAACACTCGCCGTTTGAAGGTTACATATAACATAATACATGTATAGGTACTGATTTTAAGGTGCCTACCATCGGACAATTGTTTAAACAAAATGTAGCTTTATTTTGCAAATCATACTGATGAACCTGATAACGCCCTAAGACTCCTGAAAACTGATTGAAATTCGTTAATATGTCTACTTGAGTTCGAGCAGGCCATTTTTTTAAATTGTTTTTCTAAAAAATCCTATACATTTTGTTTAAATATTTACTAAATTTTGAATGCTCATTATTCGAAAATTAAACTAAATGTATTAAAATGTGGCCTGATCGATCTTAAGTAGACATATACGAATCCCGATCTGTTTTCAGTCGTCTTATCGAGTTAACAGGTCTATCGGTTAAAAGAACCTTTCAAAATATGAACACAAATTGTTTACTGTTCACTAGCACAACGCGATGGTGGTGGCTTGTATGTGGGCTTGCGGGAGCGCTCAGCTATTTTATTTACACACAGTTACACACACTCATTATAGCACTTACTAAGCACACATTTACCAGACAGGCATGTATACAATTTTAAATTTCCTATTTTTAACTCCTTAAAAACTATCCGTTCTCTCTTTAATATCATAAATTATTATATGTTTATTGTGAATATAAAATGTATTATAATTTATAATTTATTATAACTAGCTGTTTAACGTGACTTTGCCCAGAATAAAATAATAAATTATAAAATACGGCGTTATATAGGTGTATTTCGGTTTTAGTGTACCGTAGTTCACGCGGTCAAATCGGCGTCGATGTACCTCAGCATTGTTTCCTGATTTGACCAAGATGGACAATCAATCTGTGCTATGGTGGATAGGTTATAGGACTTGGTATATTTTAACATACTTGGCTTATTTTTTGTTTCAAACAACTCATTAAAGTTTTCTGAGAACTCAAAATCATCTCCAAAAGGTTCATAAAAATGATTTAGTATAATAATAAATAGCTACAAACATGAAATTAATTTTAAATTCTGAGCGGAGCGAGGAAGCTTGTGGTTTTACAATGGTGTTTTTTATTTTAGTTTTTTTTATCCTGTATACAAAATTTCTACCTGTAGAGGAGTGCTTTGATTTCAACATATAGTATCTTATCTTTTAGCAAATTGGATCAAAATGGTACTTTTCGATTTTCTCAATAGTTATTTAATGCCACTGGAAAAACCACCGACAAATTACGAAAAACCGCTAAGAGTGGGATTTTAATTTCTAACACTTATTGTTTATCACACCATATAGAAACCAATAAAAAATAATAATAATATTATAATCTTAGTACAACTTACAAGCTATAATAAATAATAACAATATAAAATATCTAGACTGACAAACCGTCTCCGCTCAGAATCGTTTTTCTTATACAATGATATTATATCATTGAATTCAAGTTAAATACAAATATACAATCCATTATCAAGCCCGGTTCAAGACATTTTTATATTTATATTATAATATCAAAGTATCTTTTATTTCTTTAACCAATGGCAACTGTATGTAATATTATTATTATAACTTATAAACAAACATTTTTCGATTTCTGTGAGCTAAATCAAAATTCCTGTGACAACATCCTCGTAGCAACATATGCGGAATGAAAGGAAGTCTCTGGGAATATATTTGTACACACTTTATTTTGCAATTGGTTAAATAGTTTCCAAGTCTACAAGCCCCCATACAATCGGACTTTAATTTATATATTATGTAGATAAATAGATAGATAGATATTACATTTAATCCGTAGACTGAGTTCGTTGCTGAACGATTCTCCTTCCGAATTTGTTGCTCGACAAGCGTATCTGCCAGCAACGTTTCTGGTCACTCTCTGCAAAACCAAGTTGTTGTCGCTTTTCATTGTTCTCGCCGACGAGTTCAAGTTCAACGTAAGACCCTAAAAACAAATGTATTAATATTATTAACGATGTTCATGAACAATATGTCACTATTTTATGTACATATCCGCATCACGGATGCTTATTTCATATCTAGTGTAAGTAGGTACTTAGATGACGATTACCTAGAACGAAACACAATTACTATAATAATAGTTATAATATTATATTCCTATTGATATAAAAGAACGAGATAAGTAAATGTATTAAAGTTAAAAAAACGTTTTTAATAATATATTATAATATAATGTGAATATACAATGAATAATGAATATAATATGTATAGATTGATATACTCGTAAATCGAGCACAAATTAAACATAGATTTTCAACCTTTTTTTTACCATACATATAGGTAGAGGTCATATACTCATATCCATAATATGTTTTCTGACACATTGAGAATGATGAGGCCATTTTTTTTATTTGATAATAAATATTAATACAATATTCAGTTTTGAAGACTCCTCTCTAATTTTAAAGGTTAGATAATTTTTTTTTTTATGGAATTAGCACCTTAATATTTGGTAGCTTTTAAATTTTTACTAAAGAAAATATGAACAGATTAAAACGATACGGGATAAATAGAGGGTTTGCGATAGTATATTATAATAAAATACGGGGTTTGTGCTTATTTTTTATTTATCACTTTTACACTTTCTTTACCTATCTATATACACATGCTTTGAAGTGCCATTGAATAAAAACCACTCGTTTGAAAATGCAAACAGTTTTATAAAGTCGCAAGGTTAGATATCTCACTCTCTCTCTCTCTCTCTCTCTCTATATATAAATATATATATATATATATATATATATTATGTATATTATTATACAGAGTAGTATCATACAGGGTGATAACCAAGCATAGGTACTCACCATCATTTTTCACTAATAATGCATTTATTTTAGTTATAGTTTTTACTTTTTAGAATCGTTGATGGACACAATTTCCCTTAATTTTAAAAAATAGAGTATTCATAAAATATTTCATGATATTATCTATTTTTTTTTTGTTTCAATTAAGTACCTATCTATTACCATTTTTTAATTGTCCGATTTTATGGAAATAATTTTTTTTTTTTTGTAACTGATAAATAGTATTTCATAAGTACAAGTATAGTTTCTGATTGCAACGTATAATAATAGTATATTCCAGTGTTTCCCAAACTTTTTTTTTCAAGACACATAAATATTTGTTAGGTACTAATTGTTGCTGAAAACTTTCAATAAAAAGTACTTTTAGGTAGGTCTGGGTGAAATTAACGGTCATTTACCAAACAAACATTAAAATATTCACAGTAAATAATATTTTATATTATATTGAAACTCATATTTCACTATATATTTGTATTTTTTTTTCTAAATAAAGTCATTTCCAGTAATTTTAGATTTTGAATAGAGTGGACCAATTGGTTTTACGAAAATAAGTGTGTTTCCTAACCTTTTAGAGACAAAATTCACCAAAAATATGATCATTTTGCAAATTATTTTATAGCTATAAATGTTCAATTTTAATAATGAAATAGCTTATAAATTTATAATTTTAACGAATATTATAGCTTAAATAGTAAACATCTATGTAACTATTTGAAAACATTGTGTTTTAGAATATTTAAAAATTCCTAAAATGTGAATTATAAATTGTAATAAACGCATATTTATTATAGTTTGATAGCACCCGGAACATGTTTGGTGTATCGCCCTGTATACAATATATTCTGTACTGTAATTTATACACAAGTAGAGTCCACGCACACGAGTTATTGAATTTGGCGAGGTCCCCGTTATATGAAACCGCATGACAAGTTTTATACGCCTTTGGATTCGACACGGCCACCTGCAACTCCGCATACGTACGCGTCCGACACAGTTTTCTCCACGGACCACTTCATATTCTTCGAAAAACAATAATAATCCGACAACGTGTAACTAGTCAGTAGGTACAAGCGCAGAAGAAAAACAACAACAGTGGCATCATTGCCGTCATCCGAAATTTAATAGTACACAAACACAATTTTGCCGTTCTACCCCCCCCCCCCTATCGACACACTGCAAGTGCTCACGTCCTGCAGTTATCCCCGGTGGCATAACGCAGGACGTGTATAGAATGTTTGGTTTATGCGTATTGTATAACTTATACCACTACCATGGATCAGACTCTGCAATGTAACGGTCGTGTGAAATACGAAAACGGCGATACAACGCGAATCAGTGGTAGACAGTGCAAGTCTGTCACTTGTCGGTAAAAAATTATATGTATATTACGTTCCATCGTCCACGTACAAGCGTACAATTTTTTATGTATAGAAATGTATTTAATATTATTATACATTTTTACATGTTGTGTTCGAAAACCATACTAATGGAATTTATTAACGGAAGCTTATAGTACTTTTAAATAGTATTAACAAATTCCAAGTAGTCGTAAACTCATAAAATATAAAATATAGGTAATCTTGTTAGTCAATACACAGAGCATATTTAATCAATTCTGTGGTCAATATTCCATAATGTATTGTTGGCCGTTGTGTTAATATTTAATGTAGGTATAATGGGTACATGGTTATTTTTTCTGATAGGGCTGTGCAAGCGGCAGAAAAACACGCGGCGTTCTATATAATAATAGTATTATTATTATACAAATTTTATTACAGAGTATTTCTGCGAAGAACAATTATTTATTGTCAGATGGCTCTGCTGGGAGCCTTTCTACTTACAGTATTAATGTTCCTATGTCAAACTTTATTTTATGTAGTATAGATTGTAAATATAATATTCTTAAATGATAAAAAAAAAAAAAAAAAAAAAAAACGAATAATTAATCTATATTATACATAATATATTATATAACAATTATATTGTGTATATGAGTTTAATACTATTTAGGTAAGTATAATATTTTGTATATCCCCTGTAATTAACCATGAAAACATATTATTCGGATGTGTTATTCAAGCACTGCCCGCAGGCGACGACTACTGTAGCTATACATATAATATACTATATAATATTATAAATTATAATATATGATATTTGGCACCATTATCAATGTTAAATGTATTACTGATATATACACAGAATACATTATTAATATACATATTAACTTTATACTTCAGAGCTTATATTTTAGAATCAGATTATCAAAACACAATACAACGCGTCAACGCGGACAGTATAACTGTCTTTATCATTATCTTGTGTAGTTGTGTTCTTGTAACCAATTCTTTTATTTTGACTACTGGATAATATTCAAAAATTTGAACTTATCTACTTCGGTGTTCTTAATGTGTTAAGAGAACGCTACCCATGCACTTGTTGCCTCCGTCTTACACACGTATGCAGTGGCGTATTTTCAAATTTTTTATGGAGGGGGGGTCTAAATATTAGGTACCTACAAGTTTATAATATAAAAAAAATACATACGAGTTATGATGTAATAATTATATTATATTATATTTTTTTCTGGGGGGGGGTCGAGACCCGGGGACCCCCCCCCGTAAATACGCCACTGCACGTATGACATGGCAACATTTCGTTTACTAGTTTCAATAGTGTGTTGTTTTGGTAATAGAGTGAATTGACCTATTATCAAACATTTAGTTAAGTCATTATCTGTAATTAAGCGTCGGTGATTTTCGATAATTTGCAAGCAAGATATGGGTATGTGAAATATCAAAAATTTAAAACGATCATATCTTAATATCTCCCTTGAAAATTTAAATATCGAATAAAAGCTTACGTGAATAAAAGATAATGCTTAGATTATGTTCCTGTCTAAAAGTTTGATGACACAATTCATTCTAATATCAAAACTATCAACACACCATTAAATCTAGTGAACAATAATTTAGTATGTCAACGGAGACAACCAACGCATGTTAAAACTAAATTTGAACTGTATTAAAACTAAATTTAACCTACATAACTGTATTATTTTCTTCAAATACAATTAGGTATAGGTATTTTATATTGTTTTATTTTACTAAAAAGTATTATCTAAGTACATGCACAAGTATATTTATTAAATTTGAGTAAAATCACTAGTTTAAATTTAAGTCGTCATTCATTATAACTTCTCATAATAATTATTAGTGTGGAATGGTTTACTGTATTGAATAAAAATCAGGAACCGGAACCTAAACCTTTATTTTTAAAAAATAAGTTCCGAAACCGAACTGGAGTTTTTAATTTAAATAGGTTCTTTTAGGTTCAAAAATGAAATAATTTTATTTATCATAATTTAATTGTATTACTGGTTTGTGTATAAACTATGTAATATGTATGATCATATGAGTTTTCTAATATTATTTCTCATAATATTAATTAAAGCCGCATTCCGGATAGGTATTTAAAATTATTATACTTTTCGGTACCTAAATTATCTGGAACCGGTACCAAAATTATTTTTAACCAATACCTTTATTATTTTTTTTTTTTATCAGAACCGAACCTGGACAGTTATTTTATTTTTGGAGAACCGATAAATTCAAAAGGCTCCAAGTCCCTGATACAAATACAATCATCACTGTGATTTACTCGATGAAGACTTAAACTCTAAACCCACTATATTATACGCTAAATTTTCTAAGGTTTTTGATATTGTATTAGTTTAAAAATCACTATATTTTTAATATTTATTTCCTAACAACCATCCATAGATGATATAATTGAGGTGACTTAAATTGTTTGTATCATCAATTTGAATTTAAAATAAATTATATGGATATTAGTCATCAACCGAGAACTCAGTAAAAGAATGCCATACGAATAAAAAAAAAAAAAAAAAAAAAAGTAAAAGAATATTTATTTTCATTTTACTAGTATAATAGTTGATTATATTATATAATATATTGATAAAATATTCTATCTTCACTCCGTGGTTATTATAAAATGCATTATATAAATATGTTGTAAGAGACCTGTAGAGATGTATCATTTTTCATTTTTTTTTTATTCACTGGTCATGAAGATAAAAGATTATACTCAAGATAGTTTA